TAAAAAGTAGCTGGCTATTTTATCCTTGGGATCAGGTTTAAGTCAGCTATAGCCTCCTGGCTTCTGACTGGGAGAAAAACTAAAAGACTCTCAGAAGGGGCTTCTTTTTTCTTCTTAAAAAGTAGGTGGACATCTTGTCCTTGGGATCAGGTTTAAGTCAGCTATAGCCTCCTGGCTGACTGAGAAAAACCAAAAGCTCTTCAGTCTTATGTCCTCAGGAGGTCAACTGGGAGAGCTGCTGAGGCTCCCGGGGCAGGTGTGGCCACTTTGCTGCAGCCTCTTTGCTTTTCCTTAGCCTCATTCCCCCTTCTCTGTTTTATTTCATACACTCCCTTGCTGGATATATCTTGGTTGGTGATCTGATGTCTGGAGAGAGGTTCACCCTCAGCAGAGATGCCTCAGATGGCTTTCCCTGACGTGTGCCCCTTTTGAGGCACACAGGCTGCAACTGTTGGGGCAAGGCTGCAACAAGACCCTTTGCCTTTTTCCCACAGCAGATGTATTTTGAGCAAAAGCAGCAAGCCAGGCTAGGGATATGGCTAGTGAACTAAATAGACAAAGACCTGATCTGGTGGGGCTTTGCTCATGATGAGGAGACTGATAGTATGGCCATGGGGCACATCAGGTAGTAAGAAGCACTGTGGAGAGATTAAAGCAGACTCAGGGGTAGGAAGGGAAGTTGGCTGCTTTTCGTGAGGGTGATTGGAAAAGTCCTCTGAAAAAATGGCATTTTAACATTCACTCAAAGGAAGTTGGTGAGGGAGCTATGGGGCAAACTGGAAGAGTATCCCAGGCAGAGGGAAGAGCTCATGCAAGACCCTGAGGCTGGAGCCTGCTCCCTGCGTTAGAGGAACAGCAAGTGGATTTTGTGAGAGGGTGTATGGCAGGAAATGAGGGGATGGTGGATCCTTGGTGGTAGTTATAATAATGTTGGCTTTTTCTAACTTAGGTGGGAGCCATTGGCTGGCTTGGATTTTAACAGGCCCCCCTCCTTCTGGCTACTGTGTGGACAACAGGCTGTTGGGGGCAAAGGCAGAAACAGGACACTGGTTATATCCCAGGTGTGTAGAGTGCCAGCTCAGGCAGTGGGCAGAAGTGGTGCCAGGTGGACAGTGATCCCCAAAGAGGATGTGGGTTCTTTGCTGTGTTCTCATCTTGGCCCTGCCGTCCAACAAGCTGAGAGCTTGAGCAAATTGTCCCACAGTTCTCAGCTTCCACCTGCTGTCTATAAAATGGGAATAACAACGCCTGCTGTGAAGCAAATGCTGATTGAGACTTACCCAGTTGTCTCCAAAGTGGTGGTCTTTTTTAAAGCCACAGTTCCATTAAGCCTTATTCATTGGAGTTATGTCTGTATTCTCAATCTAGAAGAGTCCTTACACTGTTTTTTCCTTAACCCTGAATTATTCGAAGAAAGCAGGCTATTTATCTTATAGAATACTCCACATCTGTCTTACTGTTTTCTCGTGGTATTGTTTAACTTGTTCCTTGCCTTGATTCTTCTGAACCGGATGTTTAATGTTTTAAATGTCTGAATAGATTCCTTTTAAACATTTTAGTATGAGTACTTCATTCTCAGCACACTTAGGAAACATCACTAGTTGTGATGCTAAATTTGATCTTTTTTGTAAAGATATATTTTCCCCTTTGCAGTTAGCAGTGATCTGTGGAGTGCTTAGGTAGCCACAGATGGCCTGTTGCTCATCAGCCTTTCACCTAGTGGTGTTTATACTATCTGATAATTCTCCCCTGAAGAAATCTTTCATTGGCATTTACAAAGTGTTGATTTATAAAATTCCTTCATTTTTTTCTAAATTCATGAGCTGCTAGTCTTCATTATAATATAATGAATATATTCATTATACACAGCTAATATAATTCATTAGCTGCTATAAGGTAAAGCTCATTCTTTGCCTTTAAATAGCAATTTTTATTTTTATTTTTTGAGACAGTGTCTCCATCACTCAGGCTGGAGTGCAGTGGCTTGATCATGGCTCATTGTAGCCTCAACCTCCCAGACTCCCATCCCAGTCTCCCATCTGGCTTTCCAAATAGTTGGGCCTACAAGCACATGCCACCCAGCCTAATTTTTGTATTTTTTGTAGAGACAGGGTTTTGCCAGGTTTCCCAGGCTAGTCTCAAACTCCTGGCCTCAAGTGATCCACCCCATTTAGCCTCCCAAAGTGCTGGGATTACAGGCATGAGCCACCATGTCCAGCCTTTAATTACCAGTTTTTAAAATGAAAAATGAATGTTAACTGTTGGGGTTGCCATTCCCAGTGGGGGCAAATGACTTTTTCCCCCTCTATTTGCTTTTACTGTACTGTGGGCTCAAAACTTTGGTCAGGACCTTAAGACAATGATACCCTTTATTCTTTTTGATGCTGATGTCATCCTAAATTTGGCCAGTCGGAGCCCTTCAAGCTGACTCCAGTACCTTTTTGACAGGCTCCCACCATTCCTTCATCCATTTCTTGGTTTCACTACTCTGGTCCTACTATCACCCATGTTTCAAAGAGCTCTAGTTCCTTTCAGTGGGGTCCATAGACCCCCCCCCTTTTTTTTTTTTTTTTTGGTAACAGCTTTATTGAATATAATTTACATGTCATAAATTCACTCATTTACTCATATATGTTTAACTAGAACATTTTTAATGCTTAAACTGATTTTTATGACGTACTAAGGGATTTATTACATCCATAAACTGGAAATCATTTGTCTGCCTTGGAATTTTCTTTAAAAATATTGTCACCTGCAATTTCCCGTGGAAGAAGCCAGGGTTGTTATGAATAACTTAATCACATAGCATCCAGTCCTCCCTTTGGTGCTTATGGTGACATTTGTTTATTTTTACTTCTGTGATTTTGTTTTTATTTTTGTTTTGTTTTCCTGCTAAGAAGCTTAACCAAGTCCCTGCCTTCCCTCCTCTGGACCCCTTTGATTTTGACCAAGTATATTCTAGCAGTGCAGAAAGTCGGGGAGGCAGAAATAACCATTTCCTAGATGCCACTGTCTCTTCCTCTTATATTTACTCTTTCGCTCCCAGGAGCTCAAGCTCAGTTACATATTCCCTTAATATCTAGAAGCAAGTAAGATTTTTAAGTGTGTTTTCATAGTGAAATTCAGGTAAAGCAAACAGTGTCTCTTACTGGTCCTAGTTTCTTCAATTTTCTTCAACTGATTGTAATTTTTATCCCCTACCCCCACCAAACTCTCTCCTAAATAAATATACACATTTATACAGAAAACACACAAAGTTCAATGCATGAGTAACATGGTCTTTTTATAACCTTGGCCTGGATTGCTCAAGTGCTCCATGCCTTTTCCCACATGGAGGTCTGTGCCCCTTGGCTTAGGTGCTGCCACGCTGCCCTCACTCCCTGCTGCCCTCACTCCCCGCTGTATGACAGGCTCTTTTTTGTTCTTTGTAGCACAGCTGAAGGAACACTTCACATGTGTACACGCATGCTTCTAATTCTGCAACAACACACCCATCTATTTTCTTAGCCCCCATCATAGTCAGTATCTGTGTAGTTAGCATCTGCTCTTTCCCTAACAAACTGCAGGCTCCAGGAGGCCAGACCGACACTAAGTGTTGTTCTCCAGGGTCTCCCCATCAGTCTTGGCATAGAGTAGCTATTGACTGACTGAATGAGTGTCCAGTTAGGACCTGGCATTCCATCAGTTTATTTTTACTTTTATTTTTCCTTCTTTTTTTTTGTATTTGTTTTGTTTTCCTACTAAGCTTAACCAAGTCCCTGCATTCCCTCCCCTGGACCCCTTTGATTTTGACCAGGTATATTCTAGCAGTGCAGAAAGTCGAGGAGGCAGAAATAACCAGTTGCTATATATTCATTCAGTGAATATGTAAGGAGCTGGGCAAAGCCTCAGTGTTGCCCCCAAGGTGCTTACCCTGTAGGGAGTGGTCAGTTACAATGAAAATACCTCGAGCACCCTACACCTATAGGCTACAATTTCTTGGAGGAAGTGCCACCTGGTCTTGGGTGTGTCTGGTGCAGTCAGGCAGGAGGAAAGGGTCTTCCAAGTTTGTACACAGGCCAGGAAGAGAAAAGGGTACTTTGATTTTTCCTGTAAGTGCTTATTGAATGTCTGTTATGTGTAAGACACTGTCCTGGCTACCAAGAATTTAGGAGGGAAGAAGACAGAATTCCTGCCTTCATCTTACACAGTAGTGGAAAAGACATTATAAATATGATTAATAAGCATGACTGTTGTGTGTAAACTCCTAAATGTTAAGGAGGGACTGGGAAAAGGTTGAGCTTTTAGGTAGACTGGCAAAGGCCTCAGTAAAGTAACGTTTGAGAAAAGACTTGAAGGAGGTAAGGATGTAACCCATGTGACTATTTGAGTAAGATAATTTTAGGCAGAGAACAGCAAATGCAAAGGCCCATGGGTGGGGGTATCCCTGGTGTGTGTGTAGAACATCAGGAAGCAATGTTCTGGGACTGGAGAAGTATGAGAGTAATCAGAGGTGAAGTCAGAGGGATGGTGGTAGGGGCGGAGGCGTGACAGCTGTTGGAAGGTCCTGTAGGCCATTTTAAGAGCTTTATCTCCTGAGATGGGGAGTCACAGGAATTTTTCTAGCCAAGGGGTAATAGGGTCTGGCTGCTCTGTCAGGTTTAGACTGTAGGAGAGCAAGGGCAGAAGCAGGGAGACCAGGGAGAGAGTTATAATAGTCTGTAACAGAGGTCCAGAACTCATGCCTTTAACAATTATATCCTATAGAAAATGCATATTTCTACCACTTCCAGCTAGTCACTGTTAAGTGAAATTTCTTTTTTTGTTTTTCCTTTTGGAGACAGAGTCTCACTCTGTCGCCCAGGCTGGAGTGCAGTGACACAATCTCAACTCACTGCAACCTCTGCCCCCCAGGTTCAAGCAATTCTCCTGCCTCAGCCTCCCGAGTAGCTGGGACTACAGGTGCATGCTGCCACGCCTGGGTAATTTTTTATATTTTAATAGAGCTGGGGTTTCACTGGGTTGCCCAGGGTGGTCTTGAACTCCCGAGCTCAGGCAATCTGCTCACCTTGGCCTCCCAGAGTGCTGGGATTACAGGCATGAGCCACTGCGCCCAGTCTAGTGCTATTTCTTTCTCTCCTTCCCCATATGATACAATATGGTAGGCCCTCTTATTTATATTGTGATTAAAATGGAAAATGGAGAGACACACCCACAGGGCATGCATTCTGGTTTGTGTTCTTTTTATTGCCTCTGGATTCTGCATGTTCTTCCCATTATGGACCCTGCCTTTGAAAATACACTTTTGGTTATAGGATCTAAAGGGATTTAGCCAAAGGTTAGAAGCATTTCCATTCCACGTATGGGAAATGTACTTACACGGTTTGTGTTCTCAGGGAAATGTTGGTGAGAGTGAGCTGGTTCCCTCTTTGAGTAGGCACTTGGACCCTTGGTCATACCCCTCACTCATAAGGAGTTCTCAGAACCCCACTTCAGGGAGGTTGTGCTGGAATGCAGCCACAGAGACCCAGAAATGGAATAAAAATGTAAGATTTGAATTTGTATCTTTTGCCTATCTAAATGTAGAATCCCTTTTTACCCGTCATGACTGAGACAAGTGGGTAGTTGGTATGCTAACATAAAAGTGACATGACTTCTCAACATCTATTTCAAACTCAAACATAAATCATTTTTCTTTGAGTATGGCTTTGCTAGTGGAGTTTCCCATCATAGTTCCTGCAAAACCAATTTGACCTTTTTTAAAGTAGAGCAAAGACAGTCGTGAGAACATATAAAAATCCAACCTTTCCAGATTTTTAATATTTATTTTTCTAAATGTAGTCTCTCATATGATTATTCACTAGCAATAGTTCTTTAGTGACTTGCCTTTATTGAGTCTTTCCCAGCAGCCAGCTAGAACCACTGTTTGTATTCACACTCATTTTATTGATTTACATACTATTTAATTACATTATCTTTACACAGTAACTATAGCTACCATAAATGGGTTTGGGGACAAACATAGGTAATCACTCCTCTCTTTATGAATATAGAACTCATGGGAATGAAGGAGTGATCGAGAGCTAGAGACTAAAGCATGAGGGAGTGTTCTTCACCATGCTGGGGTACGAAGGCTGTGAGTGTGTGAGTCTCTGAGTAAGGCAGCTGAGTAAAAGGTGGTTAAGAGAGCTTCTGTATCTAATGAGGAGGAGGAGGAAAGCAAACAGCTAAACATTAGACCCTGAGCCATACAACCATCTGGGAATGTTCTAAGTGGCTTCAAATGCAAAGCCTCAGAGAAATATTGGCTCCCCCTACCTCCATTCAACCATTACACTTTTTTTTTAAGAGATAGTCTCAGGCCAGGCGTGGTGGCTCACGCCTGTAATCCAAACACTTTGGAGGCCAAGGCGGGCGGATCACCTGAGGTCGGGAGTTGAAGACCAGCCTGACCAACATGGTGAAACCCCGTCTATTAAAAAAAAAAAAAAAGAGATAGTCTCATTCTGTTGCTCAGGCCGGAGTGCACTTGTGCAGTCATAGCTCATTGTAACCTCAAACCTCTGGGCTCAAGTGATCTTCCCCCTTAAGCCACTCAAGTAGCTAGGGCTACAGGCATGTACCATGTCCGGCTTTTTTTTTTTTTTTTTTTTTTTTTTTAATTTTTCATAGAGACAGGATGGGTGGGGACGGGGAGTGAGTCTTGCTATGTTGCCTAGGCTGGTCGCAAACTCATGCCGGTCTCAAACTCCTGGCCTCAAATGATCCTCCTGCCTCAGCCTTCCAAAGCAATGGGATTACAGGCATGAGCCTCCTCTGCACCTGGCCTCATTACACTTTTTTGTCCTTAAGAAACTCACCTGCATGTTGAAAGTAGAAATCCTTTGTCCCTCTCCAAACTGTAAATGGCAAGGACTTTATTTTGAAGGTTTGGGGCTTAGGATATTCTGTTTTTTTTGTTATTGTTTGTTTAATCTTAAAACTTCCCATATTTTGGTTCCTGTAAAATGTCACCTATAGGAAACACTCCTGCAAAGATTCATGAGCAACTTTAAACTGCACTATGAGTCATGAGCTTTCACTACAAGTAGTGAAGCCATAAGTCTATAGAGGTGCCTTCTTCAGTCTTCTTTCCTTTCCCACTAGAAGGTATATGGGACTGCCCTTCCCCAAAGCAGAGTGCCCTGGAAGTGACTCCATTTCTGTTGGCTTATTAGTGAAATAATATCCCAGTGGTCCTTGCAAATCTCCAGGTCCTGGTCTTGAGTCTTAACCACTGCTTTAGTGGTTTGAGCCAACCACCAGGAACATAGTCTGGGGATACTTTGCTGCCCAGTAGCTGCTGGCCAAGTCCCCCTCTGCTGATTCCTTGATAAGCAGCAGGAAAGTGCAGGCTGCTGGGAGGTAGACAGACTTGAGACTGTCTGTACTGTCTTGTTTTTTAAACCCTTTTGCTCCCTTTCCAAGGATTTCAGTTTGAGAGGAGACGCAGGCGAGGTGACATCAACAGGCTTTGCATGCAGTCTTAGCTTTGGCCCCTTTCATCATCTTGTGCTTTTAACTGGAGCACATTTTCACATTTTGCTCACTGATTAGTAACTAAAGGTGCTAAAAGTAAAGACTACCATTCTGGGATTAGCCCTCATACTCATTTTACCATATAGGAAAGAAGGTCTAAATATGAAGGCCTCATGCTTGTCCTTCTTAAAAATCATGCAAGTAAAGCAAATCCAAGAGTGCCCTGAATACCAGCACCGAGGTGCCACCAGGACACAGAACACAGGCCAGGTCTGTGAGCTTGGACTGCATTCAGTCAGGAGAGCCAATACTAAATACTTGAAATCAAGAATATGGAGCTATTCCAGGCAGTTTCTCAGGCATGAGTTATAAGCTTTTGTATGGCCAGAAATGAAATCGGTCAGTTCTTCAATTAGAGGGTAATGCTTGTGATGTTTTATGTTGAGCGGCCTTTAGAGCTTAAAGACTGTCAGCTGCCGTATCTGCACCGTAACCTCAGTTGCCTTCTCTCAGCAGGGCATGCTTTCTCTAGGAAATTATGGCACTAACTTGGCAGGTGGTTTCACTGTTCAAGGGCTCCAGCTCCTGGCACAAGTGATTTCCAGAGTTAAAATTGAAGCAACTGCTGAGACTTGACTTGCTGCCTGCTTTACCTGTTCCTTCCCCAAACAGAGGAAGCACTAGTCATTCATTGCCAGTGTGGATATAGGAGCTAAACATATATAGGATTTTAGTAAATGCCACTGTCTACTTTTTTCTTTTCCTTTTAAAAAAAAGTTATACATGATCAAAATCCAATAAACTGCTCATTTAAAAAATATACAGTTTCTTAAGTTTTGATGTGGCATTGTTCCCCTTTGAATTCACACCTCCTTACCCTCCTCTAACAACTACTGGTGTGCTTTTTTTGTCACTGTAGATTTGTTGCATTTTCTAAAGTTTTATATAAACGGGATCAAACAGTATGTTCTTTTGTCTCTGCCTTCTTTCACTTGGCATAATTATTTTGAGATTCATCTGTGTTATCCCATGTATCAATTGTTTGTTCCTTTTTGTTGCTAAATAATTTTCTCTATATAGATATACGTATTTACCAACTTACCAGTTGGTGGACGTTTGAGTTAGTTTATAGTTTTTGGCTATTGAAAATAAATCTGCTTTGAACATTTGTGTACAAGTCTTTCTATGGACATAGCCTGTCATTTCTCTTGGGTAAATACTCAAGATTAGAATGGCTGGGTTACATGGGAGATGTAAGTTTAACTTAACTGTCAAGCCGTTTTCCGAAGCCTTATGTTCTATTCCCACCCAGCAGTGTATGAGAATTCCAGTTCCTTCACATCCTCAATAATGCCTGACGTGGTCAGTCTTTTTTGCTTTACTCATTCTGATCGGTGGTAGACACATCTCCTAGTGGTTTTAATTTGCATTATTATAATAACTCAAAGTGTTTAGCATCTTTTCATATGCTTGCTTGCCATCTATCTTTTTCAGTGAAGCGTCTGTTCAAATCTTTTGCCTTTTTTATTGATTTTTTTAATTGTTGGATTTTGATGGTTTGTTATATTCTGGACATAAGTCCCATATCAGGTATGTACTTTGCAAAAGTTTTCTCCCAGCGTATGGCTTGTCTTTCGTTTTCTTAACAGTGCTTTTTAAAGTACAGAAATAGTTTTATTTTGATGAAATTCAATTTATTCTTTTATAGGTAGTGCTTTTTGACATCATACTAAGAAACCTTCACCCAACCCAAGGTCACAAAGGTTTCTTTCTTATGTTTTCTTTTAGGAATTTGATAGTTTTAGCATTTAACATTTAGGTCTAGGATCCATTTTGAGTTTATGTTTGATAATGGCGTGAAGTTTTTACTGTATTATGCTTATTTTGTCATTTCAGCCCAATATAATTTGCATCTCAGACATTGTAGTTTTCATTTCCGAAAGTTGGAGTCTTATGGTCCTCCTCTAGTAATTCTAATATTTTGTGTGTTCTGAGTTGCTTTCAACTGATTGATAAGTCTCCTCATTGTGGGTCCGGTTTTCTGCCTCTTTGTATGCCTAGTAATCTTTGGATGCCAGACATTGTGAATTTTACCTTTTGGTGTGCTGGATATTTTTATTCCTATAAATTTTCCTGAGTTTTATACTGAGAAGCATTTAAGTTATTTGGAAACAGTTTGATGCTTGTGAGTCTTGCTTTTGTGATTTGTTAGGTAGGTCCAGAGCTTAGTTTAGGGCTGATTATTTCCTGCTATAGGCAAGATCTTCCTGAGTATTCTGCCCAGTGCCTCCTGAATCATGAGTTTCTCCAGTTTGACTGGAGCCCTGTGTGAGTACTGGGTACTGTTCCCCTAAGCCTTTTGGATAGTTCTTTTCCTGTCCTTGAATAGTTCCCTCAAATGTAAACACTGAGAGGGACTCTGCTGAATACTCAAAAGAGGACCCTCTGTAGATCTCTGGGGAGCTCTTTATAGCTCTCTCCTGCCAGTACTCTGTCCTATGAACTGACTCGAGGTGCCTTGAGCTCCATTCCCGTTCCCTCTCCCTGGAACTCCCAAGGATATAGGCCTGGCCTTGTTTCCCAGGTCTCAGGAATTATTGTTCTTCATTATGGATGTCTGGTGTCTTACAAACCATCATTTTAGCTATTTTGTCTAGGTGGTTTTTAGGTTTTTGTGGGACTCTTTTTTAGGGAGGAAGGAATTGGTTGTGGGTTGTTTCAAGAACAAATCTGATCCTCGTCCTGCATCTTGACCAGGAATTGAAGTACTCACTACCTGTTTTGACATTACAGGCTGAACAGCATAATTCCCACCCCTGAAAATGCTACATGCACACTCATTCTAGCTTAAGAAACACTGCTTTCACCTTCTCCCCCTGCCTGACAACTTATGGCCATAGTTAAGTGGCCTGTTCTTCCCCGCTTGGGAAGCCCCCTTTTTTCCTTGTCCTATAGCTTGTGCCAGTTGTGTGACACCCACTTAATCACATACCACCCTGCCCATTTTTGCAGTTTATTGTTTAGCTTTCGGACCTCATTATGGGAAATCCTCTCCTTGGGCCTAAGGAATCCCAACACCACTGCCACCACCCAACCCTTCCCTGTGAAGATTTCTCCTTAAAAAAGTAGATGAGATTGACAGTTGGTGACTGTGGTCTGAAATTCTAGAGCAAGTCTTATGCCCCTTTCCCAGGGACAACAGATCATCCAAAATAGCATAGGAAAATAAAGATCCTAGGCAAAGGTCCTGCTTAAAGCTCCTTTACTTAGAAATTCTGCTTCCTGGCTTTTATGTTTTTCTTAAGATACTAGGGAGAGGCTTGCCCCTCAGTGTCCAAGATAGGCTCAAGAGAGCTGGGGTCAGCATTCTTACAGAGCCATTGTCTTCACTGAAGAACATCCACATCTCCATACTGGCTCGGCAGCAGATTCAGGCTGTGTCCCACCTTGTGCTCCTGTCCTGGTACCAGTGAGATAGATAATTTAAGTATCTCACCTCAGGCAAAGCAACATTGATACACGGATGCATGTAGTGTCTGGAGGTTGCTTGGCATTGCATTTGATCAAGGCAGTAAAAAGAAAGTTTAGGGAGTCTGCCTCAGTACCCTGTTGTTTTCATTGCAATCAAAATACTATCTTGTACAGGTCAGGGCATGTTCAAATTTGGTAAGAAGTAGAATAATTCTTTTATAGATATACCATATTTTTCAAATTGTGGGTTACGAACCATTAATGTATCATGAAATAAATTTAGTGGGTCACAATCAGCATTCTTTTTAAAAATGAGAAGTATATTCCGTGTAACTTACATGTAAATTTTATTTTGTTTATACACAAAATGTGGTTACGTGTACCGGGTCCTGACATAAGATACTGGTCCCATTGTCGCAGATCAGGGATATCTGTTTATGGTTTTGGTTGTTGAGTTCCATTTCTTTGTTGGTCCTCTTGTGGCAGCACTGCATTGTGGCGTGCTCACTAAATGTCAAATAAAGGTTTACCTCATGCCAGTTGTGTTTGGCTGGAGGCAACTGAAGACCCAACATAAGGCAAAGCAGACTTCCTTTTTTTTGTAAGACTATTTTTAAGAGCAGTTTTAGATTATCAGCATACTTGAAGGCAAATACAGAGATTTCCCATATATCCCCTGGTCCCACATATGCATAGCCTTCTATTATCAACATCCCCAACTAGAATGGTACATTTGTTGCAATTGATGAACCTGCACTGACACATCATGATCACCCAAAGTCCATAGTTTAGGGTTCACTCTTGGTGGTGTACATTCTGTGGGTTTGGACAAGTGTATGATGGCATGTATTCATTATAGCATCATACAGAACATTTTCACTGCCCTAAAAATTCTCTGTGCTCCATCTGTTCTTCCCTCCCTCTACCCTTGACTCCTGGCAGTCACTGATCTGTTGACTGTCACTGGTTTTACCTTCAAAGCACACTTTTAATCACTTTAGAACGTGAGTTTTGAGGGAAGTGGTTTGGGGCTGATTCAGAGCACTGGAATGACCATCTTGTGGTATGCCTGGCCTTCTTGTGATCACAGGGTGACTGGCATGTTCCAAACATGATATCCTCATACAACAGCATTCACCAGGTAGAGCAGGAACTTTCTTCCCAAGTCTTTTTCTTTTTACTAATGAGGTAGGACTTTCCTGGAAGATGCCAATAGACTTCACAGCAGGTGCAGTGGTGCCCAAACTAAGTAGGTGTAAGGGCCCAAACTGACCCAAATCCCTACCCCACACCACGCCTGGCATAGGGGAAAAGCTTAGATTGATTCCAGTTCATCTGCTGGGCCAGGCTATTGTTGCTCCTGGGAAGCTGATGTTTAATTAGAAAGGAAGGTGAGTGTGCTGAGTCCAGGTTGTACCACAGCCTTGGTTCCAGGTTGCTCCTATGGGCATGTTGTTCTTAAAATAATGCAGACTAGAGAGCAGCTCTTTCTGGTTTTCAGTCTCCTTTGTGGCTCACAGGTTCTGCCACTCAGTGGTTCTGACCTTGGGTGGGTTACTGAGCCTTGGAGTTGGTTTTCTTATTTCTGTTACACGCAGTTTCATGGAAGAGGATGGAAAGGCTCCCTGCCTGGCCAAGGAATGGAGGATCATAGCTGTTCATTGCCTACTCTCACCCTTACCTCTGAGTTTGGTTGGGTTGGATTCTGTATAAGAAGTAGAGTTTGAAACAGGCTAAAGGCAGTGTGTTTGGTGGGTATTGTGGAGCCTGGAGACCTGTTCTCTCCCAGGAACTCATTTATAGAGAACTGTTCAAGTCCTGCCATCAGTCATTTCTTTCATCGGGTGGTGACTGCATTCTGGTAAAGGAATGAGCTAAATGCATACCCCAGCTTACCAGTTTTGGGGCACTAGTTTCTTGGAAAAGGCATAGGTCCCCACCCTCCTGTATCCTGTTAGTCCTCAGCTCCCATCTTGAGGCTCCAGGCAGCATGGGCATCCATTCTGCTCCCAGGACATCCGTCTCTACTCCTGCTCTGTTAAAAACACCACTACCCAACCCCCACCCCCATATTTTGTTAAAGTCCGCATAGTCCAGTAGCTGTGATAAGGCTGCCAATTCATCTCTGCCTCCCCATCCTATTTGCAAGTGTTAACGTTGTTTTTTAGGCTGGGATTTTGTCAGGATTTTCCTTTTTTCCTAAACTCATACACAACAGAATTGTAATATTTTTGTGGATTTTCTAACGCTTAGAACCATGGTGAGTGCCCACCCTCAGTCTTCCAATAAAATCAGTTTTGTGCCAATTATATGTTAACCACTGGCTGACCCTCCAATCTGGGATCCTAATTAGAGAATTTCAGGAACTCAGTGTCAGCTATCACATTTGGCTGGCAATGGCTTCCTGAGAAACCAATGCTGATATTGTTTTTGAAAAGGAAGTTGCAGATATCTATTGCAGATGTCTGTTCCTCTTTTCTCATAGCATCTCCAGAGTTCCCTTTTTATTGGATGGTGCTGTCGTGGCTTGTCCAGCTTCTGGGAAACTGGGATAATAGAGCGTGGCATTTGGGTTTATGATTTATAATATAGTTTTACTATTTTGGCAAGCTACTTCACTTCTCTCTGGCTGCCTCAGTTTCTTCATCTGTGAAATGGGGATAGTGCTGTGGAGAAAGAATTGAATTAGTTCATGTGTGGAAAGCACCTAGCCCAGTTAGAGTAACTCAGAGTGGAGCCACTGCCAACAGTTACTAGCAGTTGGCCGGGTTTACTGAGTTAATTCTATAAGAGCAACCATTCTAACCTCCTTAGTATTCCTGCTCTCTTATGTCATCTCTGTTACAAAGTGTTAGCTGTGCAAAAATCAGCACAGGTTGTTTTCTGGGGCAGCAATGGATAAAATAAGTGGGGTGAATGCTGCACACATTCTGTCTTTCGTTTCTCTACTTCAGCCCAGGTTGTTTTTTACTTTTCCCAGGAAGATTATGACAACTTAGGAACCAGCCTACAAGGGCCCAGCTTTATGCCCTAGGTTTCCTGTTGGTATGAGACACTTGGCACTAGAATGTGGGTGAAAGCTTGCCTAATAGCTTCCTCTTACCACATTGCATAGTGCTGACCCACAGCCTGGAGAGCAGCAACATGTGTAGGTTACAATCAGTGAACCACAGAGGAGAGGGTGGCAGATAGTGGAGGGGGATTTGCCTGCATTGAACAATGGAGGAGCCACATGTAAACACATTATATGTGAAAGGTGATTGGGGAATTTGGGAAGGAAGATTGCTTCTTGCACTGTGTGTGTCTTGTAGACACTTTGTGCACCTCAAGGGACCACAGTTACTTTTAGTTGGGGAGAAAATCCACCAGGTGCTAGGAGAGTCATGGCAAGAGGAAGTTTATATTTCCCATCTCCAAAACAAGGTGGACTGCCAACCACCTTTGGAATGCTGCGGGGTCCTTTTGTAGTCAGCTTACTGCTTGGAGTCAGGGAAGAGCATTCACAGGTCTGGAGTAGGACTACCCCAACTCCTTATCTAAGGCCCAATGAGGCCACAGGAACCCTCCCTAGATACCGCACTTCCTGTCAGACTCTTCTGCACTAGCATCTCTGATGGGTGCTCTGCTGGTCTCTGACTTGCCTTATGTCATTACTTGTTGCTCATGTTACAACTGGCCTTTTTCACAGGGATGCTTGAAGATGGAAAGAAATTTGATTCCTCCCGGGACAGAAACAAGCCCTTTAAGTTTATGCTAGGCAAGCAGGAGGTGATCCGAGGCTGGGAAGAAGGGGTTGCCCAGGTATGCTCTCTCATTTGTTTTGTTTTACTTTCTAGTATTTACCTTTTATATTTTTTTTTATAGGTGGCATATTTATATGGCTCAAAAATTTAAAAAGTGAAAAGTCTCACTCTCATCCCATCCCATCTGCCCAAAATACCCCCACAAGAAGCTCCTGTTGTTAATGTTTTTTGTACTGTGGTTTAAGCACATACTGCTTTTTTCTTGCTTTCACACACATACTGTTTTGCAGTTTACTTTTTCACTTATCTATTTTTGACACTCCCTATACCAGTACATAAAAGAGGAGTAAACTCTGATACAGCTGCATAGTGTTTCTTTATGTAAGTGTGCTATAATTTATTTTGCTAGTGCTCTATTAATGAGTATTTGGGTAATTTCCATATTTTTGCTATTGTAAACAATGCTGCAGTAACTTACCTTGTACAGATTTTATTTTACATGTCTGCACATGTTGCCATAGGACATATTCTCAAAAGTGGGGTGAGTGCTCAAAGCTGTGTGTACTGTTTTTTTGACAAATATGCCGAGTTACTATCTGTAGGGGTTGCACTCTGAACTGCCTGAAAGCTATGAAGGTGCAATCTCCTCCCGTCCCTAGCATCACAGTGTATTGTTAAATCTTTGGCCTCAGGACAGTATGAGTAAAAAATGGTATCAGTGGTTTTAATTATTTCTCTTACTATTAACTGTATTGTGTCAGACTGCTTCTGACAGGTCATACTAATGGAGAAAGTAATTTTGTCTTGTGATCCTAATCTCTTTCCTCCCCATTTGTGGAAACAGCTTTTGTTCTGGCAACACTATAAAATTCCCAGGAGACATAGGGACCCAGGGTTGCCAAATTTCAGCCAGATTCTGTCTTCCCATCAATCCTAGGGATTTTTTCTGGCTCTAACCAGGTAAAGGGATGTTTTTCAGTGACCTAAGACCCAGGGAACTTTATAATTAGGCTCTGCATGATGGGTAGTCTGCTTTCCTCTCACCAAGGAGAATTAGAAATTTAAGCAAGATGAAAAGACAGGTTTCTGTCTTTCTCTTTTCCAGAATACACATGCTCTACTTCCTCTGTAAAACATCACTGATTTGTCTCCAAATAAACTGCTCAACTTTCAGAAACTTGAAGCCTTCCACTCCTAAGTGCTTGGGTTTCTGTTCCTGTAGAGCAGAGGGTTGGCAGTATGAGGAAGAGGCTTTGTAGTTTACTTCCCTTGGGAAACCTTGCCAACCATAGCTTTTTGCCTGTCTCCCTAGTCTGACTGGCTCTTAGATCTGTAGCCCATCCTCCATCTCACATGCCAGCCATTGTTCATACCACATCCCATCTTTGACTGCTCCAGCATTGGAACAATCACTGTGTTGTATATCTTAAGTGCTGTATGTCCTATCAAGATAGTGTTATCAGCCTACTCCATATCTCAGGCTTGGAGAGGCATGACGGAGTACTGGGGAGATGCTTGACTCTCCCTTTAACTGGTGCTTTAGGGTGAGCCACAGCCCTATCATTTGTGAGCAGTCTAGGTAGTTTGACATCTGCATAAAACATCCTTTAAATTCTTCACAACATATTTTCTCAGCAAGTAAGTTAAAAACACAGAAAAGGGAAATTGTCTTATCCCCCTTTTCCTTTCCTTTTGATATTGTTTTGGTTTTACATGTTTACAGGCATTGAATCGTGCCACAAGGACTATTTTGGCAGCTTTTTTTCATTCATCTTGGACATCTTTTCATGTTAGTACATTTAAAGCCACCACTATATTCTTTCTGACTAATCGCTGGTGTGGATATGCCTATGAAACCACTCCTTCTATGATGGACATTTGAGTTGTTAGCAGAATATTCTGGAAGTAGAATTGCTGAGTCAAGGAATATGATTGTTTTGAATTGTACAAGATAAAGCCATCACTGTCCTTCCCACCTTGGTCCAACATGTGCCAGTTTCGGAGGGGAGCAAGGATTAGACACTTCACAGCCTGCAGCTTCCTCTTCATTCATCCTTTCTCCAGTGGAGTCTGGAAGCCAGGAATATGGGAGACCTAAAGCAAAGCAGAGATTGGTCAAAGGATGGAAATACTGAGAGAACCTGCTCACTGTTCAGAAAGTAGATATTTATACTTATTTCTGTATTGTTTGAAACAAAAGAATACACAAATACATTTTTTAAAGTAAAAATCTCTCCTTACCGGTCACTCACTATCCACATTGTTCTCAGCAAAAATCTGATATGTCCTTCCAAAGATGTTTTCTGTTGTAGGTATAATCAATATTTTCAAAAATAGTATCATATAGTACATGCTATTGTGTAGCCCAGAAAATCATATTATCTTTTTTGAAGTTTTCCTATATGGGCAAAAAAGTATAAGTAGAAAAAATATACTACCCCCAAGTATTACTTTCTATGTATATACTTTTTTAAAGCATAGTTTCAGAGTATTCCTTTTTCAAGATGAGCATAGATGTCACTAAACGTGTCCTTTGAGTGACAGACCACTGAAGGGGGGACTAGGTGGTGAGACATCTGGAATGTTACCTGCCCAGCATTAGTCGTTAAGTCTTGGGTAGAAAGGTTGAAGGCATGACCCTTCTGAGAGTCAAGAAGGGTTTTGAACTGCCAGTGGACCTCTTGGAGTGAGATGCAGGGGTCATGGGATCTGACTGCCAGCCTTCAAGTCCTGCCCAGGGAGGTGGTGATGCCTGGGCAGCTGCACAGTCAATACCATCCTGGCCAAGGAGCACCTAAGTAAACAGCTCTTGTTCTTACAGAGACAGCTGGGGTGTGTGTCAAGCTGAATCTTTCTTCCTTGTTCTTTTCACAGATGAGTGTGGGTCAGAGAGCCAAACTGACCATATCTCCAGATTATGCCTATGGTGCCACTGGGCACCCAGGCATCATCCCACCACATGCCACTCTTGTCTTTGATGTGGAGCTTCTAAAACTGGAATGACAGGAATTGCCTCCTCCCTTAGCTCCCTGTTCTTGGGTAAGGAGATCAAATGCTGCAGGGTCCTTCACTACCTTTGTGCCTCCCATGTTATGCCCAGTGTTTTGGTGGGTAGCAGAGAGAACATAAAGGTTGTTTCACCTGGGACCCAGCCCAAGCCCATCTGGCTGTCTCCAGCTAGAACAGAAGTGGCTTGGTCTCAGACTGCTCAGCTGTTGGGGAAGGGATTTGGCGTGGCAGATGGCATCATGGCTGTCACCACTGCGGACAAAGAACACTGAGCTGCTGAAAACTCACAGATTTTCTGTCCCCAACAGGTCTGCCATGGAGGGATCCTGGTGCCTCCAGATGCGTGCACATGAATCCATATGGAGCTTTTCCTGATGTTCCACTACACTCTGTATAGACATCTGCCCTGACTGAATGTGTTCTGTCACTCAGCTTTGCTTCCGACACCTCCATTTCCTCTTCCCCTCCATCCTCGTATGTGTGTTTACCTAAACTATATGCCATAAACCTCAAGTTACTCATTTTATTTTGTTTTCATTTTGGGGTGAAGATTCAGTTTCAGTCTTTTGGATCTAGGTTTCCAATTAAGTACATGATCAAGTATTAACAGCACAAGTGATAGGTTAACTTTAGAATAGGAATTGGTGTTTGGGGGGGGCGTTTCAAGAATATTTTATTTTAATTTTTTGGATGAAATTTTTATCTATTATATATTAAACATTCTTGCTGCTGCGCTGCAAAGCCATAGCAGATTTGAGGCGCTATTGAGGGCTGAATTATTCTCCAAGTTGAGAGATGTCCTTGGGTTAAAATAAAAGCCCTACCTAAAACTGAGGTGGGGATGGGGAGAGTCTTTGCCTCCACCAGTCCCACCCCTCCCTCTCCTTAAACCCTCTGCCTTTGAAAGCAGGTCATTTTCACTGCGATGTTGGACACTACAGGTATCTATCTGTCCCTGAGCCAGCAGGGACCTCTGAAGCCTTCTTTGTGGTCTGGCTTTTTTTTTTTTTTTTTTCCCCATCCTGTGGTTTTTCTAATGGACTTTCAGGAATTTTGTAATCTCATAACTTTCCAAGCTCTACCACTTGCTAAATCTTGAGAACTTTATTAATTGACAGTTTAAATTGAAGGTGCTGTTTGTAGGCTTAACACCCAATGAAAGCCCAGCCATCATGACAAATCCTTGAATGTTCTCTTAAGAAAATGATGCTGGTCATCGCAGCTTCAGCATCTCCTGTTTTTTGATGCTTGGCTCCCTCTGCTGATCTCAAAGTTTCCTGGCTTTTCCTCCCTCAGCCCCTTCTCACCCCTTTGCTGTCCTGTGTAGTGATTTGGTGAGAGAAATCATTGCTGCCCCCTCCCCCCAGCACCATATATGAGTTTCAAGTTTTATTATTGCAATAAAAGTGCTTTATGCCGGCTTTTCTCAGCTCTGTGTCATGGTGGTTACTCTCAAGTGCCTCCCCTGCCATCTGGTGCAGGAGGATGGGGTTGGGCGGGGTGAAGGAGGGTGGCAGTGGGGATGTAGTTTCAAGATTGTGTCTTGGCAGAAAAATGTAGCAGTGAACATCCTTTGCATTGGCCATTAAGGGTGAGGGGGTTGGGGGTGAGGGGGGGAATGTGGGGGGCAGTAGGTTTGCATCAAAGGAACTGCCTGAAGGGCAGACCGGGATAGTCAGGGAACATCCCCTCCCCATTATCAAATATTCATTAAATGTGTGTTCTGAGTAAAGCACTATGCTGGGTGTTCTTGGGTTACAGAGAAGTGGGAGATGCAACAGACTTTTGAGAAGTGAGTCACAGTCCATTTGGAGATGTGGTACAAGGAACTGCAAGTAAATTCATGAAGAGATTCGAAGGGAAGACTTCGATTTTAAATCTAGTGTAGGAAGACTTAGTCCTGTGGAGAGGCTGCGTGGTTGCAGTAGCTTCCCTGGACCCTACCCTGTGTGCCAGTAACACCCTGCCCTTACTGAGAGTTACAGAGAATGCTCCCACACCTTTATAGACACCTTCCAAAATTGCCCTAGTTGAGATCCACTGATTTTAAATAGGAAATTATTCAAGAGCTTGCTTACTAGCTTCCTAAGTTCTTTTTCTTAATTTATAATCTAGACTGCCAGAGTCATATTCCAGGGCCATATCTTACTGTCCCCAAAATTTTTTTATAAAAGTTTTCAAACTACAAAGATTATTAAAATGAACACCTGTATATCCACCACTTAAATTCTATCATAAACATGTTACTGTACCTACAGATCACATATCTGTTCATCAAACTATCCATTATGTCTCTTCAGAGTAAATGACAGACATCACAATTCCCCCAGTACATATCATTGACTAGAGAGCAGTGTTTGTGTACACTTTTGTGCCCCTACCAGGATAAAGAACATCATCATACCAGAAAATTCCATTATGAGCTTTCCCAGTCAACCCCACCCCACACTTAGAGGCGATAATTGTTGTAATTCTTTTCCACCATTGGCTAGTGTTGCCTGTTCTGAAATTTAATTTAAATGGAACTCTACACTGTGTCCTTTTGCACTCAGCAGTCAGTTTTGTGCCTTCACTCAAGCATATGGAAAGCTGTTCTCACTGAACTTGCATTTCAGGGAAATCCTCTGATTGAGGATTGGGATCCTCAAAGATTTTCACATCCTAATCCCCAGGACCTGTGACTGTGTCACCTTAACTGGCAAAAGGGACTCTGCAGATGTGGTTAAGTAAGGATTCTGAGACAGGAAGAGTCTGTTTACCTGGGTGGATGCAGTGTAAGCACACACATCCATACAAGCATCAGTGAAGGCGACGTGAGTGTGCAAAGACTTTGAGGATGCTAAGATATTGGCTTTTAAGATGGAGGAAGGAGAGCAACAGGCCAAGAGATGCTGGCAGCCTCTAGACACTAGAAAGGGAAAGGAAATGGATTTCCCCTAGGACTCCTGAAAGAAACACACCCCTACCTATACCTTAATTTTAGCCCTGTGATGCCCATTTTGGACTTCTGACGTCCAGAAATGCAGAATTTATTACTAAGGTGATAAAGGAGTGTTGCTTTAAACCATTGTGGTAATTATAGCAACAATAGAAAACTAATACAGGGCCATTTTAATATTATTTTTAATGTATAACAGCAGAATAAGAAGTCAGGGTTTCTTTTTTTTTTTTTTTTTAATCTGTTCAGGATCCTACCACCCTAGCAAATCCAACTTCAATTTTTTTTATCCTTACCTTCTATTTCTTGCCCTAAGCACTTACAGCATTTAGCTTTAATCACAGCATAGTACAAATTTTGCATTTCTGCTTTTTTCCCCACTTGCCATTTTTATCAGGAGTATTTGTCCATGTTGCCATATGGTCTTTATAACTGTTTTAAGAGGGCTGCAAGTAAATTATATCACATGAACAGATTAAATTTACTTAACTACCTTGTTAAAGGATAACTTTTAAGAAATTAGATTATGACTCATACAAAATTAACATATTAAAGATTGTATTTAGCTTGTTCATTATTGAGAGAACCAAAAAAAAGAACCAGCAGGACACTTTAATTGGCTCAAAGGAGAATCCAAAGAAAAAATAATTATAAGCCTAGCAGGAATGCTGAAATGAATTTGCTTCCTAGTTACAAAACTGGCAAAATTGGCCAATATCTGTAGAACAATAATCAGCTACATTCCATTGGTCACAATTTGCATTTCTATGAACAAGAATCATCTGCATTATCAGTTTCCCTTAATTTACATAATTGTAAAGTAGCTCAAAGGCAGTGAAATGAAAGGTGGAATCAATCCAGAAAGGTGGGCTAGATTAGATGGAACACCCAGTAATTGGAGGCAGAGGTGGGGGCAGTGGGTAAAACCTATTTCAAAATCCTTCACAGTGTTTCATGATAGCCTGTACTTGTATACTTGGGTTATGTCCAATTGTTTGCTTTTATTAAAAGTCAATACATCAACTTTGAACATTTTGCTTTCTCTCCTAACTACCTAGGTTCTGTAGGATATAATACTGTTAATAGACGGAATTTGTAGGGTCAAAGGAGATTTTTCAGCTTTTGACTAGTGTTGCCAAGTTGAGCAGAGTTGTATAAGCCTTTTCCCATGCCAGAAACAAAAACACCATCCATGTCCCATGGCAGAAAATGGCTATCACTTCCATGGTGTCCTAAAAAAACTTTAAAAACCTTCCTTTTCCAGTGGTCCTCTGCTATAGCGTGAGTGTGTCTCCCAAAGTTCCATGTGTTGCACTCGCTCTCGCTCGCTCTCTCGCTGTCTCTCTCTCCCCGCCCTTCTGCCCTCCACCATGGGGTAACAGCAACAAGCCCCTTGCAAGATGCCAACACCTTGATTTTGGACTCCCCAGGCTCCAGAACTCTGCAAGATCAATTTCTGTTTATTATAAATTACCCCATCTGTGGTATTCGTATTATAGCAGCAAAGTGTAGACTAAGACACCTTTCCACCTTCTCATTTCTTCTCATATTCATTGGCCTGAATTAAATCTGTGGAGAATTTGACTGACCTGGATCAATCAAGACCCACCCCAGGGCTGGAGAAGGGCTCCGACTCCCCTGAAGCTCTGAGCCCTACAGTCCCTGAACAGATTCTGCTAATAAACAAGAAGCAGGGGGATCCAAGATGGCCGATTAGACAGAACTCCAGCGCACAACACCCAGCGAGAGAGACACAGAAATCCAGAGATCTCCGAGCTCCAACCGAGGTACCAGGTGCTTTTCAACAGGTCTGGTCCAATGGTGACCAAAGCCCACTCAGGGCAGACTGAGGCGGGGAAGGGTGCTGCTTCACCCAGAAAGTGCATCTGACCGGCAAGTCGGAGGCTCCCCTCTGGCACTCCAGTCCAGATACAGTGCTTCCCCCAAAGCCTCAGCAATACACAGAACAGGGGATCTTTGCCAGTCAAGCGCTGGGAATTACAAGCTCGGAGTTGAATAAGAGCCTGCGGACTAAGCTATTGCCCCCTCCCTCTGCCTGGAGAGAGAGAGGGAGCTGTAAGCGGGAGCAGCTGGGCGGGCCCTTACCCCATGACCAGAGAGAGAGGAAGCTGAAATGGGGAGACTGCCAGGTACGGCTGGGTGGGTCCCTACCCTCCCCGACAAACCTCGGAGGGCTGAAGCTCTGACTCTAGTGGGTTGTGCAGCCAGTGCCACAGTCTGAGAGGAACCCTGAATGATCTAGCCCAGTGGAGGAAGGGCACAACCCACCACTAGAGGGGTGGGACTGGGCTACAGGTTTTAAAAAAAAACACAGGAAGCCTGCTTACCAACGGGACGGCATTCTTGACAACCCAGCAGTGCCTACAGGTCAGTGGAAGAGGCGGGCCTAATCTCCCAGTATAAACAAAAAAAGACACAGGAAGCTTCCCTAGTAACCTGAAGGAGTCCCTAGAAACCCAGTAGCACCTGCACAGGCAGACAAGTGACCTCATCAAGCAGCTCCCTGACAACACAGCCAGGTAAATCCACAAAAATGGGAAAAAAAACCGCAAAAAAGAGGAAACCATCAAAAACCAGAACACCTCTTCTCCTTCAAGGAATCACAACTCTTCAACAACACAGGATCACAACTTGACCGAAGAGTGTGACGAATTGACAGAAACAGGCTTCAGAAGGTGGATAATAAACTTTTCTGAGCTAAAGGAACATGTTCTAACTCAATGCAAAGAAACCAAAAACCTTGAAAAAAGGTTAGACGAAATGATAACTAGAATAACCAGCTTAGAGAAGAACATAAATGACTTAATGGAGTTGAAAAACACAGCACGAGACTACGTGAAGCAAACACGAATTTTAATAGCCAAATCAATCAAGCAGAAGAAAGGATATCAGAGACTGAAGATCAACTCAATGAAACAAAAAGAGAAGGCAAGATAAGAGAAAAAAGAGTGAAAAGAAATGAACAAAGCCTCCAATAAATATGGGATTATGTGAAAAGACCTAATCTATGTTTGATAGGTGTACCTGAATATGATGGGAAGAATGAATCTAAGCTGGAAAACATGCTCCAGGATACAATTCAGGAGAACTTCCCAAGCCTAGCAAGGCAGTCCAAATTTCAAATTCAAGAAATACAGAGAACTCCACAAAGATGTTCCTCAAGAAGAGCAACCCCAAGGCACATAATCATCAGATTCACCAGGGTTGAAATGAAGGAAAAAATGCTAAGGACAGCCAAAGAGAAAGGTCAGGTCACCCACAGAGGGAAGCCAATCAGACTCACAGCAGATCTCTTGGCAGAAACCCTACAAGCCAGAGAGAGTGGGGGCCAATATTCAATATCCTTAAAGAAAAGAACTTTCAACCCAGGATCTCATATCCAGCCAAACTAAGCTTTGTAAATGAAGGAGAAATAAAATCCTTTACAGACAAGCAATTATTGAGAGATTTTGTCAACACCAGACCTGCCCTACGAGAGCTCCTGAAAGAAACACTAACCACAGAAAGGAACAAGTACTAGACACTGCAAAAGCAAACCTGTTGGCAAAGACCAAAAATGCAATGAAGAAAACGAGTCAACTAATGGGAAAGAAGACCAGCCAGTAACAAAATGGCTGGATCAAATTCACACGTAACAATATTAACATTGAATGTAAATGGCCTAAACACCCCAATCAAAAGACACAGACTGGCAAACTGGATAAAAAGTCAGAACCTATCAGTGTGCTGTATTCAGGAAACCCATCTCACATACAAAGACACACATAGACTCAAAATAAAGGGATGGAAGAAGATTTACCAAGCAAATGGAGAAAAAAATAATAAAACAGGGGTTGCAATCCTAGTCTCTGATAACATGGACTTCAACAAAGATCAAAAGAGACAAAGAAGGACACTACATAATGGTAAAAGGATCAATCCAACAGGAAGAGCTAACTATCCTAAATATATATGCCCCCAACACAGAAGCACCTAGATACATAAAGCAAGTACTTAACAACCTAAAACGAGATTTAGACTCCCACACAATAATAGTGGGACACTTCAACACTCCACTGTCAATGTTAGATCAATGAGACAGAAAATTAACAAGGATATCCAGGACTTGAATGTAGAGCTGGACCAAGCGGACCTAATAGACATATACAGAATGCTCCACCCCAAATCCACAGAATATACATTTTTCTCAGTACCACATTGCACTTACTCTAAAATTGACCACATCATTGGAAGCAAATCACTCCTCAGCAAATGCAAAAGAAAAGAAATCATAACAAACAGTCTATCAGACCACAGCACAATCAGACTAGAACTCAGGATCAAGAAACACACTCAAACCCGCACAACCACTTGGAAACTGAACAACTTGCTTCTGAGTGTCGACTGGATAAACAATGAAATGAAGGCAGAAATAAAGATATTCTTTGAAACCAACCAGAATGAAGACACAACTTACCAGAATCTCTGGGACACCTTTAAAGCAGTGTCGAGAGGGAAATTTATAGCAATAAATGCCCACCAGAGAAGAGAAGAAAGATCTAAAATCGATACCCTATCATCAAAATTGAAAGAGCTAGAGGAGCAAGATTAAAAAAACTCAAAAGCCAGCAGAAGACAAGAAATAACTAAGATCAGAGCAGAACTGAAGGAGATAGAAACACCAAAAACCCTTCAAAAAATCAATAAATCAAGGAGCTGTTTTTTTGAAAAGATCAACAAAGTAGACAGATCGCTAGCCAGATAAAAAAGAAAAGGGAAAATAATCAAATAGATGCAATAAAAAGCGAAAAAGGGGATATTACCACTGATCGCACAGAAATACAAACTACCATCAGAGACTACTACAAACAGCTCTACTCACATAAACCAGTAAACCAGGAAGAAAAGGATAAATTCCTAGACACTGTACTCTACTAAGACTAAACCAGGAGGAAGCTGAAACCCTGAATCGACCAATAACAAGGTCTGAAATTGAGGCAGCAATCAATAGCCTACCAACCAAAAAAAGCCCAGATCGAGACGGGTTCAGAGCCAAATTCTACCAGACATACAAAGAGGAGCTGGTTCCATTCCTTCTGAAACTGTATCAAACAATACAAAAGGAGGGAATCCTCCCTAACTCATTTTATGAGACCAACGTCATCTGGATACCAAAACCAGGCAGAGACTCAACTAAAAAAGAAAACTTCAGGCCAGTATCCATGATGAACATCAATGCAAAAATCTTCAATAAAATACTGGCAAACAGATTGCAAAAGCATATCAAGAAGCTTATCCATCATGACCAAGTAGGCTTCATCCCCGGGATGCAAGCCTGGTTCAACATACACAAATCCATAAATGTAATCCATCACATAAATGGTACCAAAGGCAAAAACCACATGATTATCTCAATAGATGCAGAGAAGGCCTTCGATAAAATTCAGCAGCCCTTCATGCTAAAAGCTCTCGATAAACTAGATATTGACAGAACATATCATAAAATAAAAGCTACATATGACAAACCTACAGCCAATATCATACTGAATGGGCAAAAGCTGGAAGAATTCCCTTTGAAATCAGGCACTAGACAAGGATGCCTCTCTCACCACTCCTATTCAACACAGTATTGGAAGTTCTAGCCAGAGCAATCAGGCAAGAAAAAGAAATAAAGGGTATTCAGTTACGAAAGGAGGAAGTCAAACTGTCTCTATTTGCAGATGACATGATTGTATATCTAGAATACCCCATCGTCTCAACCCCAAATCTTCTCAAACTGATAAGCAACTTCAGCAAAGTCTCAGGATACAAAATCAATGTGCAGAAATCACAAGCATTCCTATATATCAATAACAGACAAACGGAGAGCCAAATCAAGAGTGAACTCCCATTCGCAATTACTACAAAGAGAATAAAATACCTAGGAATACAACTAACAAAGGCTGTAAAGGACCTCTTCAATGAGAACTACAAACCACTGCTCAACGAAATAAGAGAGAACACAAACAGATGGAGAAACATTCCATGCTCATAGTTAGGAAGAATCAGTATCATGAAAATAGCCATACTGCCCAAAGTAATCTATAGATTCAACACTATCCCCATCAAGCTACCAATGACCTTTTTCACTGAACTGGAAAAAACCACTTTAAACTTCATATGGAATCACAAAAGACCCCGCATAGCCAAGATGATCCTAAGCAAAAAGAACAAAGCTGGAGGCATCACACTGCTGGACTTCAAACTATACTACAAGGTTACAGTAATCAAAACAGCATGGTACTGGTACCAAAACAGAGACATAGACCAATGGAACAGACAAGAGACCCCAGAAGAAACACCACACATCTGCAGCCATCTGATCTTTGACAAACCTGGCAAAAGCAAGCAATGGGGAAAGGACTCCGTGTTTAATAAATGGTGTTGGGAAAACTGGCTAGCAATGTGCAGAAAGCAGAAACTGGACCCCTACCTGTCACCTTACACTAAAATTAACTCCAGATGGATCAAAGAGTTAAAACCTAACACTATAAAAACACTAGAAGAAAATGTAGGCAAAACAATCCAGGACATAGGCATAGGCAAGGACTTGATGACTAAAACACCAAAAGCAGTGGCAATAAAAGCCAAGATAGACAAATGGGATCTAATTAAACTCCAGAGCTTCTGTACAGCAAAAGAAACCATCATCAGAGCAAATCGGCAACCAACAGAATGGGAAAAAATTTTTGCAATCTACCCAGCTGACAAAGGGCTAATATCCAGAATCTACAAGGAACTAAAACAGATATACAAGAAAAAAAAAACAACCCCATTCAAAAGTGGGCGAAGGATATGAACAGACACTTTACAAAAGACGACATATATGAGGCCAACAAACATACGAAAAAATGCTCATCATCACTGGTCATTAGAGAAATGCAAATCAAAACCACACTGAGATACCATCTCACACCACTTAGAATGGCGATCATTAAAAAATCTGGAGACAACAGATGCAGGAGAGGATGTGGAGAAATAGGAACACTCTTACACAATTGGTGGGAGTGTAAATTAGTTCAACCATTGTGGAAGACAGTGTGGTGATTTCTCAAGGATCTAGAAATAGAAATTCCATTTGACCCAGCAATCCCGTTACTGGGTGTATACCCAAAGAACTATAAATTGTTCTACTATAAAGACACATGCAGACATATGTTCATTGCAGCTCTGTGTACAATAACAAAGACATGGAACCAACCCAAATGCCCATCAATGATAGACTGGACAAAGAAAATATGGTACATATACACCATGGAATACTGTGCAGCCATAAAAAATGATGAGTTCATGTCCTTTGTAGGGACTTGGATGAATCTGGAAACCATCATTCTCAGCAAACTGACACAAGAACAAAAAATCAAACACTGTATGTTCTCACTCATAGGTGGGTGTTGAACGAGAACACATGGACTCAGGGATAGGAACATCACACACTGGGGGCAGTTCGGGGGGAGGTGTAGGGGAGAGACAGGGGGTGGGGAGGGATAACATGGGGAGAATTGCCAGATATAGTATTCACCCAAAGTAAAATAAATAAATAAATAAAAAGATGAAAAATTAAGCCAACTTCCATGTGAGGCCACAATTCAGCCAGGATCACAAAGAGACATTATCCACTTTGCCTGTGGCCATTCTGTCATTGTAGACTATAAAATTTTTATACTGTAAAATTAAGGTTCAAAGAAATCTTCTCTAACTTTCACATACATACACACAAATACAATGATTTTCTACTGTAAGCGTATAATACACAGAGAGGTACTGGTTTACTTTAGACCAAGATGTAAAAAACAATAAAGATTATTAAAATGTCCTCATTATATTAAAAAAAAAAAGCTGGGGACCAATGGATACAGCTATAACTGGTTTATGTGGCTACTTACTGTATTTTCTTTCATTTTCTTTTCTGTTTTACTTTTAAAATGCATGATATTATACTACAGTCCTAGGATTCAGGAAAACTTCTAATTCTACATCTAACGTTTGCTAAGGGTTAGACACCAAATTACCCTGTGTCTGAGTTTTTTCATTCATTAAATGAACTTGGGATGAGAGTGGGAATATGGGTAGTCAGAGCGACCAGATTAACTTTAAGATACCTTCCAACTCTAAAATTTTAATTATTTGAAATTTAATGATTCATGTGAGAAACAACTGCTTATGGCAAGCACATACCACCACCACCCCACCCTACCCCTAAGAACCATGCTGACAGACTGCAAAAAAGCATCCCATGAACCTTCACTTTTTTCAGGAAATGACTGGCCACAGAAAACTCTCCACCCCTTTCCTCTTTCGAAATGTTCCCCAACTGCTCACTTGCCTCCTTGAAGCTAATCAAGTATGGCCAAATATACTTGAAGACCAGTTTGTCCCTTGGCTTGCTTCCACAAGCCCTACCCTTATAGGACATTTGCCAAGTCAACAATGTCAGTATTTCCCCTTTTAACTCTATAACATCTAACCCTTCTGAATCCTTGCTGAAACAAAGGTTTCAGCAGAAGGGTTCCCTTGCTACAAATTTATGAATAAATCACCTTTGTCGATTTTGTCTTGGACTTAGTTTTGTCTCTGACACATGTGGAATGAGTATCTGTTAGAATTCTGGCCTTATCACACCTCTTGCTTTCTGGATAGATAAGGGATCACTTGGGTTAACAACCTTGAGCTACACTGGCTTCTTAAGAACCATTGAGAAGCCAGTGTAGGGATTCTTGTTCAGACCTCTATAATTTAGTGAATCAATGAAGGGCAGCCGACACCAAAAATGAATTAAAATGCCAAAGCTAGCAGTCCCCTAGTTTCTGGCCAGAGTGTGTGATGAGTTCATCTGAGTTCCCAGAGTTCAAGGCATGCAGCAGGCAGATAAATTACGGACCCACCAGCTGGGCTTGCAGCAGCAGCTGCCCTTTACAGAATGCAGCAAAACAGCTGTCAGCTCTTGTTAGGAAGGTAGAAACATGCCAGTGGGTATGCATGCAGGACTAGTGTATTGTTGGATCTCCCTGCTACTGACCATTGTTTTTAACATTAATCTGTATATTTCTCAAAGCTGCACATGCCCAAGATTTAGGACAGTAAATCCAGTTAACCACAGAGTATACTTTTATGTTGTTCCTGTGATAACACTATTCTAGATGCTAAGAGTGAATGTAGGATAGGACAGAGAAAAGCGCTGCCCACGAAACCTTCCATTCATGCCAGTGAGGGAGACCTTCCATTCATGCCAGTGA